TTACTTATCATAATTATACACTTAGCATGCATACCCTACTACATGTACGTTAATTACTTAATTAATACCCAGAGTTAGATCAGAGTAACAAAGAGAAAATGCATTTCAACTTTAAAACCATTTGTGCATCCCACCCCACAGGAACCACTGAACTTGGGGCCACATATTTAAAAATCATTTTTATCACAAATTTCATTTGACTAATACCACAGAGCAGATTTTATACCTGTAACCATTAATTTATTTCAGACTATACCACTGACCCAGGGGGCATGAAATTAACCATTTTGCTTGATGCACCTTTCTTCATCTTAAATATATATACTAAGATCAATGGCATATTACCCAGGAGCAATGGAAAAGATTTTCGAAGGAGTAATGGAAAAGAGCTACAGCTCACCATGTCTTCCTTTATATAGTACCTAATTTAAATGTCTCCGCCCATTTGTATGTAATAGAGAAACCAAACTCTGTTTGAAATAAAATGTTCCGGAATTTGTTTTTTGCGGTAGGTGTTGAAAATTGGCTTGTATTTCTTGATTATACTCAAAGTCATTAATAATGATTGTACAAAATTTTAATTAGAAATACTATATTATATACCATGAAAATAAAAATAATACCATTTATTATATGATTGAATAATTTCCATCTCTCTGATTGGCTGAGATCCAACTATGTTAGAAAAATATTACGTTGTATTGACCTGCACGTGACGTTCCAGGTCAATACAAGGATTTATTTCCTCTACATTGATCTGAAAATAGATTGTGGAATTCCAAATTGATTTATTGTTTTAGAAAGCTATTTAAACGACTATGATCTATGATTTTTATTTTCATGTGAAAAAAAACCTACGCGAATATATATTTTAGGTGAGGGTAGTAAGGGACCCCATCCCCGCCAACACTTTTACTGTACAACAACTTTTTTTTTTTACTTTTTGGTAGTCAGTTTTCCTTGATAATACTTCTTCATTTTAAAATCTATCCTATAAAAATACTGACATTATATATTTCTTTCATGGCTACTAAAATCGATTTTAAAAAAAAATTCAAATTGATACGAATGGTAAGGTTTATTAACACTTTAATTCTGTACTCTGTTGTATTTGGTCAGGACTTAATAAAATGCAAACAAGTAATGAGCTGTATCATTTTATCAGGGAATCATATAATAAAACAATTATTGCTGTTTTTTTTCGGTCAATACAATGATTTAGCCATCTTCGAAGTACAATATTCACCTCGCCCTTCGGGCTCGGTGAATATTGTACTCCTCAGATGGCTAAATCATTGTATTGACCTAAAAAAAAGCAATAATTGTATAATATCCTCATGTATATTGTGTAAAATAAGGGGACCCTAAAAATGGGACCAAGCTAATATACTTAAGTGGAAAACTTGTTAACAGATGAAAATATTACTTGAATCCAAGGCATATCATGAAAAGAAAGTCAAAGTAAGTTTGTTTAATTAATGAATTATTAATTAGGATCAATTAATTAAAATGATTAATTTAACAAGAGGCCCATGGGCCTTATAGTTCATCTGAGCATTATGCAACAACTTTCCAGTGATTGAATTTGATTCATGTTATAAGCCAGATGCTATGGCATTTACAATTTTGAAAGAGGCACCATTGATCATCATAACTATACACTTAGCAGTTGCTTAGTTTGGTTACTTAATACCCATAGGCAGGGTAGGGGAAAAATGCATTTCAACTAATTAGTAATATTCAGCATTAATCAGTAGTGCCCTTACCACACATGAACCCTTGACCCTTAGGCCTAAATCCACACATTGCACAATTTTTGAAAAGGCATCCTTGCTGTTCAAGAATATTTGATTAATAGCAAGGAGATTTCAAACAATTCATTCATTTTCAGTATATAAGTACAGCCCCTCCCCTCCTTTATGGTACCCCTCACCCTGGGGCCTTGAAATTCACAATTCTGGAAGATTAGGGCCCTTGCTCATCATAATGATACAGATAGTTATATAGATAGTTAGTATTATAGGTATCTGCTTAATAATCAGGAGCAGAGAAGAAAATTTTCAAAGAATTCATGTATTTTCACTATAATCAATAAAGCCCCACACAAACACCAGAACCCCTGACCCTGGGGCCATAAAATTCACAATTTTGGTAGACGCACTCTTGGTCATCATAACTATGCACTTAGTTTATCTAATACCTAGGAGCAGAGAAGAAGATTTTCAAAGAATACCTGAGTTACTCAAGTGACCTAAAAAGTTGGTGTTGCATTCCATCTTGAATGTCCTCAATAATTTAATTTTAGATGAAGCATAAGATTAACGGCTGCATTTCATTTCATTAATTTTTGGTAATTATCAACTTTTCATTTCCAACATTTTTTTAGTTTTCATTTCCGACATTTTTTAGTTTTCATTTCCGACATTTTTCAAATACATAGGTAGTACCTATAGTAACAGATTTGATATCTTTACGTATGAAAAATTTGAAGGATTAATGAATAATTGAAATCCAACTTTGTAAATCTCAGTGATATGTACGAGGGTTGTTCGAAAAGTTCGTGGACGATGTCAATCCCCTTTATATTACTCACTAGAGATTTAAGATAAGCACATTATAATATGTAAAAATATTTGTTTTGTTGATGTGTGAAGTTTCATTCCATTCGATTTAACAGAAATCAATTTACTTCATTTCAAAATCAACATGTTTTGTACCCGCGGAGCACACTTAACGGCAATGTAACGTCAAAACATAGCGTCGAGAAATTTTTAAAAATACTACCCCTGTACATTTGACAAATTATAATACAATTCCAATTTATTAAATCCTTTTCTAATACTTGACATTTATTTTTTTAAGAATTGCTCTCGTTGTATAATTTCCTTTGTTAAGGTTTTACTTTCTTTTATAACATAACCCTGCTTTCACAGGATAAGCAACTCTGAAGCGCCTATTTCTTTCCTTGACTTGCCAACATTTTAAAGTTTTGTTCAGAAATTTACAGTTAAATCGTTTCTTCACAGATCATCCTCATCCGATACAGAGTTTCTGTCACTCAAATACTGCCTGTACTATTTGTACACACATGCACAGCTTGCTTGTGACATATTTTCTTGATTCCTCCAACATTTTTAGAGTTTATCCAGGATTTTTCCTGAGTAAAATAAAAATTGCATCGTTATCCGCTGCTCCGTGACGTTCTAAAACGTCATCGTTTTAGTCGTTTTAAATAAGGACTACATATCTTCTCAAGTTGATTTCTTTTCAGCAAAGCAAAATATAAAACCATAATTTGGTACACGAATCAATGTAACAATTCTTGAATTGAATATCTAGGTTGTTTTCCTTTTTTGCTCCATTTTACAGAGAATGTGACTATAGACATTATTTAGGGTATTGTCTGTAACGTACTAAATTTTCACCTGCTCCGCGATCTGATTTTTGTAATTTAAAATCTGGATAAGTTTTGAATAAGTCGCAATATTTTGAAAAAAATTAATACAAATCATTTGGATTTATTATTAATTAAATATTTCTACCAAATTTGGATAACATATGACGTCAAATAAAAAAGATATGACAGTTGTCCACAAACTTTTCGAACAACCCTCGTAAAAATCAGTAACTTGGACACAAGAATGGTGCTGTCACTGACATTTAATTAAGTGCACATTAAATGTGTGGGAAAAGTTTTATGTATTACCTAGACTTAGTGCTACATGTATGCATATATGTATAGATGTTTTTTTTTTGTTTTTTTTTTTTTTTTTAAATTTTATTCATATTTTGGTATAAATACTTTTAAAATTCTATTTTTTCTTTTACTTAAAAAAATGTTGAATTGCTGCACAGGTAAATTGTGGAAATGAAAAAAAAATTATGTGGGAATTTAATGAAAAAAAAATGTCGGAAATGAAAAAAAATGTCAGAAATGCTATGCATATTTCCGGAAATGAAATGCAGCGAGATAATAGCAAAGACTTTAATTAGATGAAAAACAATTAACTTAAGCTTAACCAATATTGTAATCATATGACCATACCTATACTGGATAAGACAGGACCAAAAGCTCTGGCTAGAGCCCCTAGAGATCTGAACACTCCCATCACCACCCCCTTCTATCCGTGCCTCCAAATCCTGAGATCAGTGTTGTCAGACAAGGAACAACTGTGGCTGAAGCTATATAAAAATGTAGTAATTTCAAATAATATCTCAATTTCCTAGTCCAAATACAGCAATATTTGATATAGATGGGAAGAATTTTCTATATAGCTCCTAATATTATAAAGCCAGTATGTTGCTTTTATTTGTGTGTGCAAGTATATACCTGTTTGTACAGGATTCTCTAATATATTCAATGAATATGAAGCAGAGAAAATTGAAAATTTAGAAGTTACGCACCAAAGGCAAACAATGTCAGTCCTATGTACATCATGCTAGCACTGTAGGCAAAGGCCATACACACAAAGGCTGGGATAAGCATCGTCATTCCCTGAAATTGCAAATATTAGTCTTAATTGCATAGTAAAATTAAGAAATGCTTTAAAAATACATGTATATTTTTAGCATTATATCTGACTATGCAACCATTTCTTTCTTGACCCAAAATAACTGCAGAAATAGAGGCAGTTTCCCCTTGGAAATGTAGTACTCAGTATTTTCTCTCCAAATTAAATTATGTAAAATTGCTTATTTTCGTAGATAAAAAAGCTGCTTTTAAATTATGGCTGGATAAAATTTATAAATCGGGCCTAAAGTCTTACCAGGGTTGCTATCTTCACTTCTTTCCCTGCAGGTATCCTTCTAACATAACCACCAGTATTTTTATGCAAAAAATGTATCAACTAATTGTTTTCCATAAATTCAGTTGATTCCATAATTTTATTTTACTACTGGCTTCAAAGTTTGTGAGGTACATAAAATCAATTAACACAGCAGAAACTCTTCAAAAAATTTGTACAGCCAATTGACTTACCCTGCACTAAGGCCATGATGGTCCCCAAAAAGAAAAACATCTTCCCTTGTTGCATACTGATGAAGATAAAACACAAAGCTCTTAAGAACAACTGATTTAAAGCATTGTCCTGGTAACAAAAAATTACAGAAAATCCATTTTTTTAAATGCTAGCTGTGTTTATGATGAAAGAAAGAAGATGATCAATAAGAAACAAAGATCAAAGAAAATTATAAAAGAGAGAGTCGATGATGATGATGATGATGAAGTGAGGAAGAGATGAAAATCTGATGAAAACTTGTTGATGAGATACCTGTCGTAGTTGAGCCTGTTGTGAGTAAGGAACGTGAGTGTAAACTCGAGTCCTGAGTACATCAGAAGATACAGAGAATACACAGCACATATCTTCTGCATCGCAGACACATCTGTCAAAAGAGAAACATTCAAAAATCATGGTATTACACATCTCAATTTCAGCAGATTTTTTGGAGAAATACTTTTTCCTATGACACATTTTGATATATTTCAAAGACATGGGGTAGGAGTGGTTATCATATTTCACACTTTTCAGTCATTAAAAAAAAAGAGTTGTACGGTAAGATGACCTTTTATTCACCCCCTTCCTGATTCCCAGATTCCTCCTTTGTTTCCTGTGTATCGTCTGTGGCTTCCTGGTTTCCTTGAGATTCCTGCTGACTTTCTTCTACTGCAGTCTGATTTTCTTCTGTTTCCTCTGTACTTTCCTTTGCTTCTTCTGTTGTTTCCTCTTTCACTTCCTCATTTTCTGCTGCTTTTTCCTCAGTTTCCTCTTTTGTCTCTTGAGTTTCTTCTGTCACCTCCTGACATTCCTCTGTCACCTCCTGACTTTCCTCTGCCACGTCCTGACTTTCCTCTATCATCTCCTGCTTTTCCTCTGTTTCCTCCTGCTTTTCTTCCACAACTTCCTGGTTTTCTTCTGCTTTTTCTTCAGGTTCCTCGTTCACCTCCTGGACTTCTTCTGTCACCTCCTGAGTTTCCTCTGTCACTTCCTCTTTTTCCTCTGTTTCCTCCTGCTTCTCTTCTTCCACTTCCTGATTTTCCTCTGTCACTTCCTGTGTTTCCTCCTCCACCGTTTCCTGGTTTCCTTCCTCTTCATTTGTTCTTTCTACTTCCTGGTTGGCATCCTCAATTTGTTCGTCATCAGAGTAGAAACAGGTACTAAGTTCTACAACAGTTATTTATATTTAACAATGAATTTACATTACATAGAATTGGTGTACCCCATGAATTTTTTTTAGACAAACTGAATGTTTATGGACCCTTGGACCCCCCCCCCCCCCCTTGCACCGTGCATCTTGAGAAAATTGTCCAAAATAAGATTTAAAATTTGTTTTCATGTTTATCCCTCCGTTCAAAAAAATATCTTTCTCTTTGATTGATTTTTGATATATTGTATTTCACCTGTTTTGGCAATAGCACCATCTTTATTACTATCAAATTGCGTCAGCATCATGCGTGCGTACGTCCTCTCCGTCTCGTCGAACTGTTCGCCGAGTTCGGAGAGTTTTTTCCAGGAGTTCTTCTATATTGACCGCATCCTGTCCGGGAAACAGAATGTCCAGACTCTCCATTAGCGAGTCCCGCATCTGGGGCTTGGACTTGATTCGGTCCTGGATCCATTCGTGGAACTCTTCTTGATTTAACTGAGAATTTTCTGCAAGAATGAATGAAATGGTTTTTCAAGTTGTACATATGTACACGTACAAGTAAATCCAAAAAAATAAAACGATTTCTCTGCATGTTCGTAGCATTGGCTCACTTTATGCGAACAAGCTCAATAACATAGGCGTCGGAACCGGGGGGCTAGGGGGGCTTAGCCTCCCCCCACTTTTTTTCCAAATAAATACTTAGTATAGACATAGAACATAACTTCGCAAGTTTAGCCCCCCCCCCCAGTTTCCACAGAAACGTCTGAGTATAGGTTAAAATTGTTGGTGTTTGGAAGAAATTTTTGGTACTGGAGTTCGAACCTACCCCCCCCCCCCCCATTCGTGGAACTCTTCTTGATTTAACTGAGAATTTTCTGCAAGAATGAATGAAATGGTTTTTCAAGTTGTACATATGTACACGTACAAGTAAATCCAAAAAAATAAAACGATTTCTCTGCATGTTCGTAGCATTGGCTCACTTTATGCGAACAAGCTCAATAACATAGGCGTCGGAACCGGGGGGCTAGGGGGGCTTAGCCTCCCCCACTTTTTTTCCAAATAAATACTTAGTATAGACATAGAACATAACTTCGCAAGTTTAGCCCCCCCCCCAGTTTCCACAGAAACGTCTGAGTATAGGTTAAAATTGTTGGTGTTTGGAAGAAATTTTTGGTACTGGAGTTCGAACCTACCCCCCCCCCCCCTTCAACGAAATAGGTTTTTCGTGTTAGGGAAATAGACATTTCCTTTTTTTTTTTTTTTTTTTTTTTGCTTGTCAGGTTTTTTTGGAGGTACCAATAATTTTTTTTTTACACTTAGCAACCCCCCCCCCCACTTTCAATTTGCTTCCGACGCCAATGAATAATATATATGTGATGTGTCTTAAAATGCAATCCACTTTGAATATAAACGGATAAAGTGACACATTTATACATTTCTTGAGAATTAAGAAGTTGAAAATGTGAAAAGTTAATTTACAGATAAGTAGACACAGAATTGTTTCAGAGAAAAACTCGCTCGAGCTTTCAAGTCAGTTGAGCTAAAATGAATTCAACATATTCACTCACTACTATATACGCGTACACGTATCACCTCGTTTTGTTTGTTAAAAAATCTCACATCTTTTAATTAAGGACCGATGCATATACATGCATTTTCTCTCAAATTCTATACCTATGATATTTTTTACCCTGCCCTGAATCAATTTAAAAGTCAACCATTCAGACTGTGATTTTCTGTCGCAGGATTTAATGCCGTTTTAGTTCAATGATGGCGAGAATCAAGCTGATTTTCATTGTTGATTTGAAAATCAACTAAAAAGAGCTTAAGATTTTCATAGCAAAAGTTGAATGTGTTTGGTTTTATTTATATTGAAAAAGTGATTGTCCACATTTTTCTTGCATGAATATTGTATGACCTGTATACGCACAGCTAGGGGGTAGTTTATCAATGTAGAATCTATCTCATTTAAATTGAATATTTTGATAAAAAAGATAATTTCATTGAATTTAAAGGGGAACAAGCAAATTCAAAGAATTATGGTCCCCCGCTTTCGGTGTTTTTTTTTGGGTGAGATATCATTTTTATGACATTTTGTGTCTAATATGAACACCCTATCATAAGTCATCTATTTAGAAATTATCACTGAACTCCAAGGTCAAGGTCAAAGGGTTAACGTTCTTGGTATTCAATGAAAAGTCTTCTCAAAAGAATTACAAATGTGAAGTATGAAAGCCCTAGCCCTTACCATTCAAAACTTATGGTCAAGATTAAAGTTTTCCCATAGGTACAAAACATATTCAAGGTCAAGGTTGTTGGTATCAAATGAAAGGTCTCGCCACAAAGAATACATTTGTGAAATATGAAAGTCCTGGTATCTACTGTTCAAAAGTTGTGGCCAAGGTGAAAGTTTTTGAAAAGTTGGTCAAACTCCAAGGTCAAGGTCCAAGGGGCAAAGCTGTTGGCATTCAATGAAAGGTCTTCTCACAAGAATTATATATATGAAGTATGAAAGCCCTAGCCCTTACCATTCAAAACTTATGGTCAAGGTTAAAGTTTTTTCATAAGTACCGAAATCTCCAAGGTCAATGTAAAAAGGTATCCAATAAAAGGTCTTGCTACAAAGAATACTGTAATATGCATGGGGTTGGACTTTAGAATATTGCATATTAATTAATCACAGGCTGATGGTGGATTGTTTTTAAGTGAAGTAAAGTAGCATCCAGTTGTAAATTGATAAGAAATGTTTTATTGTTCATGTTATTTCATTATCTTATTGTTTACTTGAATTATTGATGCAATACACATTGCACTTCGACATTGTAATGTAAACAAATGCTGTTTTTGTGTTACTAGACGATCTAGTGAGATATTGTTGAACAGACAGTAAGGGACAGTGATACTAAGATGTTACATGTCAGTTTTTCATCATTATCTACCATATTACGACTGTAATTTACTTACTTATTTCAGCATTATCACATGTGTTGTAAATTGGGCGCCTGCCATCTTTCTTACGAAGGAAATAGTCATGTGACATAAACATTGTCCTTTTACAATTGATAAGATCGAAATAACACTGTCCGTGTCTTCTGATATTTATAATTGATACGTAAATGTTATTTTATTGCAGTATTGTCATTTAATTATGTTTTATTTGACGAAATGTTTTGGAACTTGAATGTGTAGCGTAATACTTATGTGTTTGCATTATTGTTCGGTATTACTACGCCATGGATTGTGTGTGTCCGTTTTATTACAGATTGTTTGTTGAACTTGTTTTATTATGTACATATATCGAATAGAGTTTATAGCTCCCACTTTACATGTAGAGAGGACATTTTGAGCGATGTTATTTTCTTTGTTTTACACAAAATGTATGTAAAGTAGTTCTGAGAGGCTGCAGAAAGGACAATTATTCATTGGTTGATGTAATCACGTGATCATTTATAGAAGGTTATATATACGAGCAGAGAACGCCAGTTTCATCACGAAGATCGTAACGATCAGATCATATTACGTCATCAAAATCACTGACTGTAAATTACTAGCGACTTAGGTATAAAAAAAATAATGTAAAGTAATACAAATTAAGTAGCGTATAATTTCTCCACCGCATGGACACCGCAATCCACTGTATTTTATTAGGCCAGAGATGTTTAGCTAGGACTTTATATACTCATAGATGTACTGACTGTTTTGTTATATTTCATTGAACATTGAAGTCTTTATTAAATGAAATATTTGAAACGAGAAATGGAACTTGGTAATGATTTACAAGGATGTGAAGTAAATTATCAAGGGTGTTTAAATACATGTGACGGGCGGAGGATGCCCCCCCCCCCCTTTTTATATGTGGACGGATGTCATAAGTAGTCCTGACAAAATATAATTAACTTAATTTACACGCCCGGGATGGAAACATTGTGAGCTGATTGGCATTTGACAGGGTGCCGAGGAAGCTTACAATTTTTGGTGTCAGAAGTGGGATGTCCTGCCATATACGAGGACATCTAGGATACTAACCCGTTCTTTAATACCTGTCAAGTACTAAGTAGAGTGGATTGCGGACTGTCGTGTGGTGGAGAATAAAAAATCTAATTTTTTAAAGAGATGTACATATGTTCTTGTTACTGTTTTTATAGTTAAAAATGGAGGATGCTACTTCGCCGGATCCTGAAGTATTTATAAAATGAACATAAGGAAAATGTTCAGTTAGGCCAAGGGGACGAAACAGATGTCTGTGGGAGGAACACTGATGATGAATATTTGATGGCAAATGAAAATCCTTTGGAAAGAAATGACAGTGACGACGACGACGAAGTAGGACGTAATTTCCGTCGGCGATCTGATTATCAGTTAGCTGACGACGCACAAAGTGATCACAATCGCATTTCTACACTTATGATCAAACCCGAACTCTACGATGGAAAAGAAAGTTGGGAGGAATACTTTTCTCACTTTCAAGACTGCGCTGAACTAAGCCACTGGGACGACAGGACAAAACTTCTTTTCTTGGCCGCTAGCTTACGCGGACAAGCCAGGACTTTCTTCATGAGCCTAACACTTGAGGAAAGACGCACGTTTAAAATTCTTGTTCAGCGTATGGACCAGAGATTTGGTAGCTCAAAACACAAAAATAGATGGCTTTCAAAACTGGAAATGCGTAGGCGGATGCCTGGAGAAGGTATTGCAGAGGTTGGAGACGATATACGACAATTATCACAAAAAGCTTATAGTAACTTGGATATTGACGCTCAGGAATCGCTGGCCCTGAACCATCTTTACAAAATTATTCCCGTTGAAATGAAATGCCGTTGTATTGACAAGGAGTGTAGCACTGTTGCAGAAGCGGTAGAAGTCATTGAGAGATACGAGTCAATAATGGGGGATGGGGATAAAAAGAAAATAAATGTTAGATATGTGGATCAAGGACAAGTAGTCAAACAGCCAACTGGAGAGCAAAAATCAAATAACTTGGAACATACAATCAAGTTACTAATCGATAGATTAAAGAAACTGGAAAGTGCACAGAGAATGCAACCTCGGAAGGGCAATAACTCTTGGACTTGCTTCATCTGCAATTCGCCAGATCATCTCATGAAGGACTGCCCAGACCGATGGACAAGAGGACAACAGATGACCATGGCCTCTAACCTGAATAAAAGACATGGCAGTGGAAACATGAGAGATAACAGATATCATTAAGTCAGGAGTCGGAGTGTCTTTCTGTTAGAAATGAAAATACTAGGACTATCGCACAGGGGAAATAACTCTCTCATGGGACAATGGATTTTATACAAAGGAAACATATTTGACAAAACAATAGATTTTCTAGGATAGTGGATCTACTGC